GGGTTTAATATTTTTCCTAGAACTTTTTTTTTTTTTTTTTTTTTTTTTTTTTTTTTTTTTTTTTTTTAGAGAAAAAAAAAAAAAAAAAAAAAAAAAAAGAAAAAAGAAAAGGTGTGGGGGGAGGGACAGGACATTCTCTAGAAGGGACTCTTGTCTAGATGTTAGAGGTTTCCAGAACTCCCCAACCACTTAGAAGACACTCTATTAAGTTAATTTGGTAAATGGAGGCTTGAAAGGGAGTTGCTGAAATAAGGATGCTCAGTCACAAACAAAAGAGGTTTTTAAACATCCCAAAGTTGGATGATGTCTACAACACCTACAAGCAAAACAAATTTCATGCTGGAATTTTCAAAAACTTTGGCTAAAAGAATATGGAAGAGAAGACAGTACAGCCACCACCTTGCACTACCCAAACAGCTAAGGAAACACTGAAAAGAAAAAGTAAAAACACCCTCCTCACACACACGATGGATGGTCTTCTGTTTGACTGGAAGGTTAAGGGACTAGTTTGGCTCCAGAAATGAGAATTACAAACAGGAAGGAGGATGGATGTCTCCTTGCCTCTCTGCGCTATTTATGCTGTGTTAAAAAACAAAACAAAATTTTAAAAAAGCCCAAACTCCTAAAACTCCAGTGGAGGAGTGCAGATATCTGTTTTCCATTCAGCTGTGCCTTGTGCAACTTTCTAATCCAAGAAGCCTGCAAGATATTACTGACAATTTAACACTGGCATTATCCAAGGAGGAACATCAGTACTGGGCACTTAAATATGCTTCATGACTTTGATCAAGCAAGAGTTCTTTTTCCTTCAGAAGTTTCTGCAAACTACTGTTATCCAAACCAGTTTCTCCTGCACACATCCAGTAAGAAGACCATGTTGCTGTGCAGAAATTAAGGCAGAAATATTTATTTCATTCCCAGTGCTCACTTCCAAAATTTATGGTTTGCTCACTTCTGTTAATGGAGGAGTGAAATATATTAGCAGAAAGGCTTGCAGTGAATCACAGTATTTTCACTTTTCCTCACTTTCTCCTGCTCAAAAGCAGGCTTCACACTTGTACCTTCCGTAACATGTTCTGTCTCCCACTGCACAGGGAAACCTTTATCTGAAACTGAAGGAAAGGGCAGGTGGAGGACTTGGGTTCAGAAGAGGAGATTTATTCCTAGCTTTGAAACAAAATTCAGTCTACATTTGAATCACTTAGTCTCCCTCTCCATAAAAATGAAAATAACACATCTCAACAAGGAATGCATCTATCAGTGTCACAGCCAGCCAAGAGATCTGTGCAGAGAAAGCTCCACACAGCATTTAAAACTTTATTTCTGGATCCCCCAGGGATCCTTCACACATTAAAAAGCTTAAAAGTAGTTATAATCCCTCTTCTTTCTATTATTGCCACGTACATCACTGAAATCCACCTATGGAGATTTTAATTATCTCCAAACCAGAAAGACCTTCTTGCTTTTTATTCTACCATTTTTTCCAAAAGAAGCAAAGTATTTCCACAGCCAGATACGCTACGCAAGTCTTAACACTAATAACAGAGGTAGACTCGCATCTCTCTGATTAAAGAGACCACTGTTGCTAAGGAAACTAGGTTATTCAGATCTCCTAAACCCAGCACAATGCTGCACAGGCTGTTCAGGCTCCACCTGGGAGCAAAAAGACTAGAGCAAAGAGATTAGAGCCAGGAGCTCACCTGCTCAGACACTTCCAGCTGCTCTGGGTGCTGCTATTGTAGATGGCAAGTGAAGACAGCAGCTGAGCCCAAGCAAGAGCACTTGGTTCCTCAGCCAGTGTCTCAGGTGGGGTGAGCATTAAGAGGGTTCTTACTCTCCTCTTAGGGCCAGCCAGTAAGGCACTGGTAACCGAGCCATCAAAGCCAAAGATGAAACGCAGGAACAACAGACAATTGCTGACAGAGGACAACTAAGGAAAAAGGGTAGGCATGCAGGGTTGATGGGCTGAAACATGTTGTATTAAGAGAGCATCAGAGAGAGATACTGAGGACAGTACTCCATGTGTATCATGCTTCTCTCATCTCTCCAGCAGGCCCCCCTTTCTCCTCCTCTTTGGGTAATGCCATATAGAAGAGCAGCAGCTGTGACTTACAGAAATGAGCCCTCTCAGCCCCCAAGAGTAGCTATTCCTACCACTGACATTCCCTTCAGTACCCCTCTCTTGCACCAGCACCATCCTCAGGTGCATTGAACTACCTGAGGCTACAAAGGCTCATCATCAATTCACACATTCTGCTAAAAAACCTCAAGCATTTACTTCTACCTTTGGTTCTGAAAGCAATGGCCTCCCTGACTTGGCTTTGCTCCAGCTTTAAGTCTGCTCCACCATTCCCCTCCTCAGTTACTGCTGCCATCCTCTCACATCCTTTCTCATCTCTGTTCCCTTTCCATTTTCTTTTGGTTTTCTCAAACTTTGTATTTCTTTTCTTTGTTTTCCTGTTCCTCCCATCTTCCAAACTGCTCCTCTCCTTCACTGCCTCAGACTACACCTGGCTGGGGGGTAAGGCAGAATATAACAAATTTACAGTTAGTCACAAATTCACTGGAACTTAGAGGCAGCACAGCAACACTGCTCCCTTGTCCCGTTGTCTACACCCTTCCTGCTGGGTGCCACATTCATTCTTTAGAAATATGAAATCAAGTCGTAGATCTAACTTGAAAGCAGGAAGGGAAAAAGAAATTAACTTCTAAGTAGAAAGAAAGATTAGCTGCACCTAATCCAGGGCCACACAATGGTTCAAAAGCGTGTGTCATACTTTCACAGCATCACAACATCCATAGCTGCTTGAGAGGCTTAACAGCAGCATGCAGGGAAGCTTCCAAGCTCACTGTGCTCCAGCTAATCCCGCTGAAAGAGCGGTGAAGCCACAGCAGCTCAGACCTGCCTGCCTAAGTAAATACCTAGAATCCTGGAAGGGGAGGGGAG